AGGAAGAGAAGGACGAGGACGAAGAGAACGAGGGCGAGTACGAGGAGGAATGCGGAGGGCGATGATGACGACGGCGACAACGACGACGACAGAGGACAGTACGAGGCAATTGGAGAAAGACATTGCTCCTCGCGCCGCGCGGGGTTCTCTTGGGCCTGTTGGGGGCTTCTTGGGGGCCCCTTGTGTCCTCTTATGGGCTTCTGGGGTCTTCTTGGGCTGTCTGGGCGCGTCGTGGGGTTCTGTGGGAGCTTTCTTAGGCCGTCTCGGCGCTGGGGGCCTCCTGGGGCGCTCCCAGGAGTCTCTTGGGGCCTTCTTGGCCCTTCTCGGGCCGTCTTGGGGTTATTGTGAGCTGTCTGGGTGGCTCCTAGAGCGCTCTTGGGGGTCTCTTGGGGTCTTCTTGGGGCGCTCTTGGGCGCTCCTGGGGCTCTCCGGGGCCGTTGGAAAACACTCCAAGAGCGATTCGAACACGGCGTCGATGCGGAGTCCCCTCTTGGGCCGATTTTTGGAGGATTTCTCGAGAGAAACGGCAATTTTTCAAAATGTTGCTGCTGATGGTGATGGTGATGCGTACGATGATGATAATAATGATGATGATGAGGAGGAGGATGATGATGAGTATGAGTATGAGTATGGTGATGATGGTGGTGATGATGATAATGATGATTACGATGACGATGACGATGAGGATGACGATGATGATACGAATGATGATTATACTTATGGTGATGGTGGCGATGGTGATGATGATGCTGATGGTGTGGATGATGATGACGATGATGATCGTGGTCCTGGGCATGCGTATGTATGATGATGATGATGATGATGATGATGATGATGATGATGATGATGATAATGATAATGATGATGATGATGATGATGATGATGATGATGATGATGATGATGATGGACTTCTCGGGGTGTGCTTGGGAGATGTTGGGGTCCTCTGGAGAGCCTTTGGACTAGCAGTTTAAATCTGCGTAGCCGTTGTAACCCGACTCTCGTTTTTTTTCATCGGTCTGACCGGTTTATCAGCTTACACGGCACAGCGCAGCAACACGACAGACGGCAGCAGCACGGCAGACCAGGAAGGCAGACCACAGGAGCACGGCGGACCAAAACGGCAGACCAGAACGGCAGACCGCAGGAGCACGGCAGACCAGCACAGCTGACCACAGGAGAACGGCAGACCAGCACAGCGCTGTTGCAACAGACGGTGCTGATACACTCTTAATCTATTGAACACGTCCCCAGCGAAATCCTCATGTTCGGCCGTATTGAGGGCACTCTGCGGGTCATCTTTGGGCCGATTCTGTTTTTGGGGGCCGTACTGATGCCCTCAAAAACGATTCCAAGACGACGTTAGACTCATTGTTTGTTTGATGATTGTTCGGCCGTCTTGAGGGCACTCTTAGGGCATAGTCTGCCGTGCTCCTCGTCTTGGTCTGCCGTGCTCCTCGTCCTGGTCCTCCTTTCCGTCGTCTTGAGGGCGCTCTTGGGGCCTGGTCTGCCGTGCTCCTCGTCTTGGTCTGCCGTGCTCCTCTCGGTTTCAAGATGGTCTTAAACGATAGCCTCCAACACCTCGATTTTTGGAGGATGTCTCGAGCGAAATGGCCATTTTGGGGAACCTGACCGGACAAGAACGGGAAGCGCCGTTTTTTATCCACCACGTGCGTCAGAGACCGTATTGGCGAGAACGTCAGAGAAACCCATAAACGCAACAGAACAGACTAAATGGTGGCCTGCCGCGCTGGTCTGTCGAGGTAGTCTGCTGCCCTGGCCACATCATGGTGTCGACACCGTGCTTTTCTCTCGGCCACGCGGGCCCCCACCCGTTGTCGCCCAGCCTACTTTTTCTGTTCCAGCCTGTCTTGTCTTTTGTTTGTCCGTCGTCGTCGTCGCGTGCCTTTCCTTTGTCGTGGTCGTCGTTTTCATTATAATCGTCCGCTGTTGCCGTTCTCGCTGTCGCCGTCGTTATCATTTTACGATTGCGGTCGTTTTTCTGATTGTTTTTTGTTGTTGGATTCCGTGTTCGGTTGGTTTTTGTGTTATGTTTGCGGTCGTTTTCTGTCATCGTTTTTTGTCGTAATTTTCGAGATCGTTATTGACGAAGACGACGAAGACGACGACGACGACGACGACGACGACGACGACGACGACGACGACGACGAGCAGGAAGACCCGTGCCGGCTGGCTCGGGGTGCCCGCGTCCCTCTGCTGCCGCAGGCCTCCGCCAGCGAGTTCCGAAGTGCGGGCCCGTACCCCTTAGTTAGAGAAAATTAAGCCCCAGAGCCAACGGTGCACGCTGGAGGCGCTTCCCGTCATCCTCGAGTTCGTCTGGAGGCCGTCTCGAGGCCGTCCTGAGGACATCCTGGGCCGTCCTGGCGGCACCGCGGGTCGTCTTGGGGGCCGTCCTGGAGGCTCTTTGGGGTCTCTTGGGCCGTCTTGGGACATCTGTGTGGTCTGCCGTGCTCCTGTGCGGTCTGCCGTGCTCCTGTGGTCTGCCGTGCTCCTTTGGGGTCTGCCGTGCTCCTGTGGAGTTTGCCGTGCGAACGTGTGGTCTGCCGTGCTCCTGTGTGGTCTGGCGTGCTCCTGTATGGTCTGCCGTGCTCTTGTGTGGTTTGCCGTGCTCCTGTGTGGTCTGCCGTGCTCCCGTGGGGTCTGCCGTGTCCTGTGTGGTCTGCCGTGCTCCTGTGTGGTCTGCCGTGCTCCTGTGTGGTCTGCCGTGCTCCTTCTTGGTCTGCCGTGCTCATGTGCGGTCTGCCGTGCTCCTGTGCGGTCTGCCGTGCGAACGTGTGGACTGCCGTGCTCATTTGGGGTCTGCCTTGCTCCTTTGTGGTTTGCCGCGCTCCTGTGTGGTCTGCCGTGCTCCTGTGTGGTCAGCAGACCCAGGGCTGAGGGAAGGCTGGAGCAGTGCTCTGGTGGTCCATCACCCGCCCAGCTCCGTCCCCTCCCACTCTGGACCGATCTTGCGGGAAGCTGGCTTGTGGCAGCGCATCGCGCGTCCATAGCGTTCGTGTGCTTGCTTTTACCTCCTTTAATGTCTGCTCCACCTCTCCTTGAGACGCAGAAGCCTCCGAGCGCCGGGAGCAGAAATGATGCACTTTCGAAAAATCTGTTTGGATGAGTTTTGTTAGCGCGGCCTCGGAATTCAATTTTTCCGGCGACGGCCAGAGCCGACGCAAGCGCTGGATCCGGCTCGGCCGCCAGCCCAGGTGCCGGCCCGGGCGTTCGGTTCGAGCGCCGGCCTGGGTGCCGGAATCGGCCCGGAAGGGGTTCCAGGGCGCCGGGAGCAGAAAATCAATATTTTCGAAAGAAAAATATGTCTTGGAGTGGCCCTTTTTCCGCACCGCCTCGGAATTCAATTTTCCGGCGCCGGCCGGCGCCGGAACCGGCCCGGGCGCTGGCCCGGGTGCTGGCCCAGGCGTTCGGCTCGAGCGCCGGCCCGGGTGCCGGAAGCGGCCCGGAAGGGGTTCCGGGCGCCGGGAGCAGAAAATCAATATTTTCGAAAGAAAAATATGTCTTGGAGTGGCCTTTTTTCGGCACCGCCTCGGAATTCAATTTTCCGGCGCCGGCCGGCGCCGGAACCGGGCCGGGCGCTGGCCCGGGTGCTGGCCCGGGCGTTTGGCTCGAGCGCCGGCCCGGGTGCCAGAAGCGGCCCGGAAGGGGTTCCCGGGCGCCGGGAGCAGAAAATCAATATTTTCGAAAGAAAAATGCGCCTTGGAGTAAATCAATATTTTCGAAAGAAAAATATGTCTTGGAGTGGCCTTTCTTCGGCACCGCCTCGGAATTCAATTTTCCGGCGCCGGCCGGCGCCGGAACCGGCCCGGGCGCTGGCCCGGGTGCCGGCCCGGGCGTTTGGCTCGAGCGCCGGCCCGGGTGCCGGAATCGGCCCGGAAGGGGTTCCAGGGCGCCGGGAGGAGAAAATCAATATTTTCGAAAGAAAAATATGTCTTGGAGTGGCCTTTTTTCGGCACCGCCTCGGAATTCAATTTTCCGGCGCCGGCCGTGATCCTGCGCTGTCTGCCGTGCTCCTGTGGCGTCTGCCGTGCTCCTGTGTGGTCTGCCGTGCTCCTGTGGTCTGCCGTGCTCATTTGGGGTTTCCCGCGAGCTTGTGGGGTCTGCCGTGCTCCTGTGGGGGAAACGCCAGCGGCGTCCGGGGTACAACAAAAGGCGCGTTTATGTTGTACCTGCGCGCGGTCTGCCGTGCTCCTGTGGGGATTGCCGTGCTCCTGTGTGGTCTGCCGTGCTCCTGTGTGGTTTGCCGTGCTCCTGTGGTCTGCCGTGCTCCTTTGTGGTTTGCCGTGCTCCTGTGGGGTCTGCCGTGCTCCTGTGGGGTCTGCCGTGCTCCTGTGAGGTCTGCGGTGCTCTTGTGTGGTCTGCAGTGCTTCTGTGGTCTGCCGTGCTCATTTGGGATCTGCCGTGCTCGTGTGGTGTCTGCCGTGCTCCTGCGGGATCTGCTGTGCTCCTTGTGTCGTCTCTTTGGTCTGCCGTGCTCCTTTGTGGTCTGCCGTGCTCTTTTGGGGTCTGCCGTGCTCCTGTGTGGTCTGCCGTGCTCCTTTTTTTCCGCCTGCCGTGCTCCTGCTCATTTTCTGAGGACGTCCCGAGCGAAAACGTCATTTTTAACATAAGAGGTTGTAAAACACCTCTGTCGGCATCTCATTTTTTCGAGGATGTCTCGAGCGAAACGCTCATTTTTCATGCATAACAAAAAATTTTGATATTTTTCAACATCCCGATGTTTTGAGGATGTCTCGAGCGAAACCGTCATTTTTAACATAAGACGTCTTAAACGATAGCCTCCAACACCTCGATTTTTCGAGGATGTCTCGAGCGAAATGGCCATTTTGGGGAATCCTTCGGGTTCCCGTGGTGCCCCTCGGAAATCTGCGCGAGCGGTTGTCGCCCTTCCTCCTCCTCCTCCTCCACCTCCTCCTCACCTTCCCCCTTGTCCTTTTCGTGCTCTCCATTTTACAGACACCACTTACAATGCTCTAGCCCGCCACATCTTGCGGGCCGTCCAACTGGGCGAAAGCCTCAGCAAGGTCAGCGAGCACCTTGCGACTGCCCCTGAGGAGGTTGCGGGTCTTACCGATCTTGATCCTCGACATGGTGTCACCCTCGAGGCAGGTCGCCGCGGTGCCGATGAGGTCGCTGACCCGCGGCACCAAGGTCTGGAGCTCGCGCCTTGGGCCCATTCGGCACGCACTCACAACGATGTCGCATCCACCACCGCCCCTTGCCCTCGCGGCGCGGTCTGCCCCGCGCTATCTAGGCCAGCCTTCCGATGAAGACACGTGCGCAATCGGAAGGCTGGCCCGCATCCTGGCCGAAACAATCTGGGATGTCAGCTGCGCTTCTGCGCGCTGCACTCATAGAGCGAGGCAAACGCACCGCGGGAGCAAGAGAGGGCGGCAGGGACAACTGGCGGGCGTGCTGGATCATATTCGGCATCGGCCGATCCCATCACCCACTCAGCCACCCTGAACCCCAACTCAGAGGTCGACAGTTGGGCGGCTGGGTGAATGAGGAGAAACCGAGGACGATAGATGCCCTGAGCGCCACTCGGCAGTCGTCAAGCCCAAGTGCTGATCACCCATGTCCACGCCGCTGTTGATCTCCTGCTCTGCTGAAGGGCGGCCAGCAAGTCCGACAGCGAAGTGGAGCGCAAGGCGCGCCCTGCCGAGATCTGTGAGGTGGTGATTGCTGGCTGGATCCTCGAGCATGGGCACTAGCTCTGGCGGCGTCGATGGCGCAGCGATGTGTTCGATGTCGATGACCATGCGACCGCCGTGCTGGACCGCTGACCCCGCTGCCGCGCCGCCTGGAGCGCTGACGCCGCTGGCGCCTGGAGGGTGGATCCCGCTGCTGATGCCTGGCACGCTGACCAGAGTGAACACGCCCTTCACGCGGCCTGCACTGCTCGAGTCGGCCGGCATGCCCTCTGCAACCGAGACCCCGTTGACGAAGACGCGGTGGCTCACACGAGCTGGCACTTGGCGGCCAGGATGCAGCGACGGCGTCGGGGTATAGCTCGGCGACCTCGACCTTGACATGCGTACGCTCGACGTGGCAACTGGCGCGGCGGTCCTGGTGCTGCGTCCAAGCAACACACAACTCAACCGTGGAAAAAGGTTGTCGCACAACCGAAAGATTTGAACCACAAATGGCAACAGAATACGAGACCCACCTAGAGCCGTCAAGGCCCCTGGCTTCACACGCGGTTATAGAGCATGACGCCCATCAACGCTCATCCACGGCGGGTGTGCCTCATGACCTGTGGCTTCGTACGCAACCATGTGGCCCCAGCGCGGTGTTCTTAGGAGGGGTGATTGGTTGCGCCTTCTGGCATCATAATAAAACTTTGTCTGACGTGTCGGGCGTAGGGTCTGTTTAATTTTCATATGGCCCCCATGGCGGCCGCGCTGAGGTCACATTGGTGCAGCTTTGTGATTTCAAGGGCAGGCGCCGCGTGACGTTGGGGCGCTCTTGGGCGGGGCATGTCTGGCCACCTGTGTTCGTCATTGGAAGGCCTTCGGTCATCTTGGGGCGTCGGGGGGAAGAAACTGTGAAAACGATGAAACCTTACAACATACGTTGGTATATGTATGGCGCTGACCCCTCGCCGTAACCTTGTTCGTCGTTATCTCTGTGTCAGTGCGGCAATTTACTAACGTCGGTTCAACTATGTCTAACTGCAACTGGGTCTGCACGCGCGTGCGTCTGCGACGGGGGGGGAGGCGGCGCATGAATGCGCATGGGGCTGCGCGCCTCAAAGAATAGGCCTCGAGAAGCACACGCGCGGCCCCGATGGGCCACCAGCTATTGCGTTATACGCCCTAGGGCACCAACCATGAAAGGCACCAACCACATCCAGAGAGCAAACGCACCTACATTATTGACAAGACGGCGGGGCAGCCCTAACCAACATGATGCGACTACCAGTGCGACTGGAACTGGCATGGGCACCGAGCACTAGACCATCTGACGCTGACCGTTGTAAAACACATCTGTCGGCATCTCATTTTTTCGAGGATGTCTCGAGCGAAACGCTCATTTTTCATGCACAACAAAAATCCTTGACATTTTTCAACACCCCGACTTTCTGAGGATGTCTCGAGCGAAACCGTCATTTTTAACATAAGACGTCTTAAACGATAGCCTCCAACACCTCGATTTTAGGAGGATGTCTCGAGCGAAATGGCCATTTTGGTGCTCCTGTGGAGTTTGCCGTGCGAACGTGTGGTCTGCCGTGCTCCTGTGTGGTCTGGCGTGCTCCTGTATGGTCTGCCGTGCTCTTGTGTGGTTTGCCGTGCTCCTGTGTGGTCTGCCGTGCTCCCGTGGGGTCTGCCGTGTCCTGTGTGGTCTGCCGTGCTCCTGTGTGGTCTGCCGTGCTCCTGTGTGGTCTGCCGTGCTCCTTCTTGGTCTGCCGTGCTCATGTGGGGTCTGCCGTGCTCCTGTGCGGTCTGCCGTGCGAACGTGTGGACTGCCGTGCTCATTTGGTGTCTGCCTTGCTCCTTTGTGGTTTGCCGCGTTCCTGTGTGGTCTGCCGTGCTCCTGTGTGGTCAGCCGTGCTCCTGAGGCGTCTACGGTGCTCTTTTGGGGTCTGCCGTACTCATTTGGGGTCTGCCGTGCTCCTGTGGTCGGCCGTGCTCATTTGGGGTCTGCCGCGCGCCTGTGAGATCTGCCGTGCTCCTGTTGGGGAAACGCCAGCGGCGTTCGGGGTACAACAAAAGGCGCGTTTATGTTGTACCCGCGCGCGGTCTGCCGTGCTCCTGTGGGTTCCGCCGTGCTCCTGTGGCGTCTGCCGTGCTCCTGTGGCGTCTGCCGGGCTCCTGTGTGGTCTGCCGTGCTCCTTTGTGGTCTGCCGTGCTCCTGTGGAGTCTGCCGTGCTCCGGTGTGGTCTGCCGTGCTCTTGTGGTCTGCCGTGCTCATTTGGGATTTGCCGTGCTCATGTGGGGTCTGCCGTACTCCTGTGTGGTCTGCCGTGCTCCGGTGGTCTGCCGTGCTCCTTTGGGGTCTGCCTTGCTACTGTGGGGTCTGCGGTGCTCCTGTGTGGTCTGCCGTGCTCCTGTGGTTTGCCTTGCTCCTGTGTGGTCTGCCGTGCTCCTTTTGGGTCTGCTCTGCCGTGCTCCTGTGGGGTCTGCCGTGCTCCTGTGGGTTCCGCCGTGCTCCTGTGGCGTCTGCCGTGCTCCTGTGTGGTCAGCCGTGCTCCTTTGTGGTCTGCCGTGCTCCTGTGTGGTCTGCCGTGCTCCTGTGTGGCCTGCCGTGCTCTTGTGTGTCGTGTCGTGCGGGGCCTATGAAGGCGAAAAGAAGCCCGAGGCCCACGGAGCGCAGTGGCCCCAGGGCCTCAAGGGCCAGCCCTGGGGGCCCGAGAGGGGCCTCCGCAGGGAGGGGGGCGCGGAGCGCCAGACGCGCGAAGCGCAAGATTTCAGAGAAATCAAGAAGGCAGCAGAGGCAGCGGCGCGTACGCACGCCCAACATGCCCCCAACGCTGCGAGTGCGACAAGGCCAGAAGAGCTGCCTCACGCACAGAAAGGAAAAGGATGACGGGGGGCGGACACAACAGAAGGGAGGAAGATGCTGCATCGCACCCCACCGTCACCGACGGCGCGGCGGCGCCTCTTGCGCCTGCCCACGCGTGCCGACTCAGCCGCGGCTGACCGCTCAAGGAGGCTCGCCTCCCAAGGCCGTAGGCGCAAGCTAGTCCTCACCCGTGGCCCCCGCGGGGCCAGGCGCCAGCGGCTCCGCCGCCGCCTCTGCAGCCGCCGCCGCGCCGCTGGGGGGCCCACAGCCGTCGCCAGCGACCTGCCGCAAGGGGCGTGCACGGGGCGGGCCCCCAGCCACTGAAGGAAGCGCACCCGCGCCATCGGCACCACTTCCTCCTTGCGAAGGCAGGGTGCAGCCGAGCCGACCCCCTTGCTGCCGCTGTGGGGCGTGCCAGGGGAGGCCGACATCAACCACTTCTTCGTCGCCTCCTGCGTCCCGCATTCCACGGCAATGGGCCGATGGGCGCTCTGAGCGGGCCAATGGGCGGGGGCTGCCCTTCCCGCTGCAGCTCGGCCATCCACGTCCGCAGGCAGACGTATTCGTAGCGCCGTATGCAGTCCGACACGATCATCTGCGACCGCGTCAGCGTGTAGCGCCACCTGTAGTAGGCCCTCCTCGCAGGCATGCCAGTCCCCCAGGCCCGCTCGCAGATCTCCTCGGCTAACTCCTCGGCCGTCCTCCCACGCGCCCGCAGCCTGGAGGCGAAGCGCGGCTGGGACAGGATCTGCGTGACGTAGCCGACGCAGTGGTCCATCCACTCGCTGTAGCCTTCCATCGTTTCGCCAACCTCGGGGGTCTGGGTCCAGAAGCGCGCCCATACAGCGAGCTGCCGCTCAAGCCTGGGCGCGATGCTGCGCCTCGGCTGCGCTGGCTCGGGCCGAGCCGCCGCAGCGCCAGGCCATAGCTCCTTGAGCTTGGGCGCCGCACCTCTGCTCCCGCCAAGCCTCGCATAAGCCCCGCCGTGGGTGCCCGCCATCAGCTCCAGCTTGGCCGCGCCGACTCCGCACCTGTCGAAGGCAATCCACTGCCAGATGAGGGAGACTTGCGCCTCCCCGCCTGAAAGCTCAATCACCACTTCCATCGTGCCGAAGAGCCCGCGCCTGGCCACCGCACTGGCTCGGTGCCGCTCCGCACCTGCCTTGGCCCAGCTGTCGGCAAGGCCGTTGCCGCTGAGGTGGGCCTCCGTGACCTTGCTGTCCAGCACGCCACAGGCGGTACAGTGAGCTGCGGCCATGGTCGCCTTGAGCGTGTCCACGTCCAGCGAGGCGTAGATCCCCTCCCAGAGAGGGGCATTGGGCCTGCTGGCTGCCGTTGCGTGCCTCTTGCCCAACGTGAGACAGCTGACCGTAGACGCACAGCCGATGAGGATCTCCTCCACACGCGGGCCCAGGAAGCGAGCAGACATCCTGGAGGCGAAGCAGGACGGGGCGATGAGGGTGCGCACCGAAGCCCTCGCGCGTGGTGGCGCAGGAGGCCGCGCTGGCTGCCAACGCCGATGAAGCCTCGAACCAAACGGAGAGGAGGTCGCCGCCCTCGGCATAGCACGTCGCCTCCGAGGGCTCCAGGAAGTGTCCCCGCACCGCCACTGCCACCCCAACTCCACGAGGGGCTCAGGCTCCACGTTGAAGACGGCTTGGAGGACCCGCAGGATGTCGGCAGAGAGGCCCGTCACCTCCGAGAAGGCCGAAAACAGGACCAGGTCGGAGACTCGCGGGCCCGCAGGGTGCTGGACATACTCAGAGACCGCCAGGGACTGCGGGCCCGAGGCTGAGGCTACCTCCACACAGCGAATGCGGTGCCGCAAGGCGGAGGGCAGCGAGAACTCTGACTCGGCGGCCTGCACGCCGACTCGCACAAGGACCGCCGCCCCGCCTGAGGTCGCCTGGGGCCCCTGGTTGACCGACAGCGCTGCCTCGGGGAGGACTGCCACGTAGCCCAGGCCGCGGGCCTGAGCCGCTGCACTGGGCAGGCGCACATGCGATAGCCTCGTCTCCTGCCGCGCCACCACGTCGAGCCAGTAGTAGCACGTCTTGGAGAAGGCCTCTATGACCTCGATGCTCCTGCTCCAAGTGTTGCCATTGCAGCCGAGGAGGACAAGGCCAGCTCGTAGCTGCTGGCCTCCCCCCCTGTCCACCATCGGCGCCTTGCCCATGACGGCTGCCACGCGGACTGCACGCTGCCCAGCGCACGACACAGAGGACGCCGAGCCCCTGGTCGCGGGACCCTCCGCCCCCACCAGGACTGGAGGGGGAACCTGGCCCCACGCTCCAGCGCTCCTCATCGGCGAGGGCGGGCCGCTGGCCTGCGCGGGAGGTGGCCACCGCAGAGGAGGAGGCCATCCCTCGACCCCTCCGGTTGCCAGCGGGGGGTGTCCCTGCCCATCACCAACGGGGCCGAGAGCTGCGACGTCGTGGGGCTGAATCCCACCGCTCACGGCCCCTGGCTGGCCGTCGGGGGGCCACCTCGGTGTTCCCGACCGCGCCAGTTGGCTACCTCGGGCAGGGGTGCACGGCGCCGCCCGCCGCTTGCGATGGCCGCGGGTGCGCCAGCAGCCACCACAGCACCTCCTCCACCTGTCCCAGCAGCTGGGCCCTCGCACGTCCTGAAAGAAGGGCGCACCGCTGCCCCAGACGTCGATGTCGGCGGTGGAAGCTGCCCACTCCAACGCTCTCGCATCACCCACGGCGCGGCCCGTATCCAGCAGCAGGAGCAGCAACAGCACCCGCAGCCACCAGGGGGTCGCTGTCCGCGAGGGCCGCCCCTTGCTCGGCGAGGGCCTTGGCGAGGCCCGGCTCCACCTGAGGCCACGTGCCCAGGGTCGCCCCGTGCTGGCCGCGGGCCGCAGCAGGGCCGTAGGGCCCGTCCACTGACTTGGCCCGCGGGCCTGGCGGCCCAGCCGCGGTGGGCCCTGCCTGCGGGGCTGCAGAGGGCGGGGCGGCCGCAGGCCCCCCAGAGGCCACGATGTCAAGCGGCATGTCGTCAACATCGGTCGCGAGGCCATCGTCCCCGACGCTGTCCCCCCAACGCGTCGTGGCCGAGCTGCTGCGGGGCCTGAGCACTTCGGCGACCGCCTCCTTCTGCGTGTTGAGAATCCCGACGATCTCGGAAAACCTCGGGGGCAGCTCCGACCCGTGCTGCTTGAGGAGATCCGACAGGGCGCCGACCTGAGTGAGCAGCCCTTGGACTGCGTCCCCAAGCGGGCTCGGAACACCTCCGACGGCCACGTTGGCCCGCTGGATCGCCTGCTGCGTGACCTTGGCTCGGGTATCCTCCAGCTCGGCAATCTGCCCCGCGACCTCATCCACTCCCAGCTCGGCTGCCGAGAGCTGCTCCTGCTTCTCCGCGATGAGTTCGCGCAGTTCGGACGCCTGCATCTGGAGCTTCTCCTTCTTGGTGCGCGCCGCAGCCAGCTGGCGCTCGACCTTCTTAATGGCGTTGGCCTCGATGTGGAGCACCGAGTGAGGTGGGCGCACCGTCCGCTGGGCATCCTGGACGGCCAGCTCCAGGGCTGCGACCTGGTCCTTGCCCAGCTGGAGGGCGCTCTCGGCCTCACGCTGGAAGTCAGCCGAGAGCCCGAGCGCCAGGGCCCCCTGGAGCTTGCCGACGCGCTCCCTGGCCGCCACGAGCTGCGCCTGCAGCTCCTCGAACTGGGCCTTGGCCTCCCCCCAAGGTCGCCCACGCCGCGCCCTGCTGTTGGGGGTGCTGCTGGGCGCGGTGCTCCCAGAGAGGGCCCGCTGGGAAGCTGAGCGCCTCGCAGCCCGCTGTTCAGCCCTCCATCTGGGCTGCTGTACGAACCCGTCAGCGTCCACTCTCGGGGGGCCCTTGTCAGTACGGTAATCCTTCGTCCAAGGGGGCGCACTGGTGCCACACACTTTGCACGTCCAACGCTTGTCGCACCAGTTCCAAGCGTTGCAGCCACGCTTACCACACAGCCAGTACGCCCGCTTGGCCAGCCCCGAGGCAACCTCCGACATGGCGGCACACCGTGGGACTGACTGATGCACAGCCGAGACCCACGGCCCTGCAGGAACGTGGAGAAACAAAATTGGCGAAGCTTCTGGCTCTTGGCGAAGCGCCCCTCGCGCTCCAGAACGCCCGACGGACTCGCGGTCGTCGGGTGCGCCATGGCCTTGAGCCAAAATGGCTACGGACCCGTGCTCTTGTGTGGTCTGCCGTGCTCCTGCTCCTGTTGGTCTGCCGTGCTCTTCTATGGTCTGCCGTGCTCCTATGGGGTCTGCCGTGCTCCTGTGGGGTCTGCCGTGCTCATGTGTGGTCTGCCGTGCTCCTGCGCGGTCTGCCGTGCTCCTGCGCTGTCTGCCGTGCTCGCTGTGGCGTCTGCCGTGCTCCGGTGGTGGTCTGCCGTGCTCCTGTGGTCTCCGTGGCTCTTTGGGGTTTCCCGCCATCTGCTTGTGTGTCTGCGTGCTCCCTGTGGGGGAAACTCCAAGCGCGTTCGGGTACACAAAGGCGCGTTCCACTTGTACCTGCGCGCGTCGCCATGCTCCTGTGGGTGGTTGGCCGTGTTCCTGTGTGGTTCTGCCGTGCTCCTGTGTGGTTGCCGGACGCTTCTGTGGTTCTGCCGTGCTCCTTTGTGGTTTGCCGTGCTCCTGTGGGGTCTGCCGTGCTCCTGTGGGGTCTGCCGTGTTCCTGTGAGGTCTGCGGTGCTCCTGTGTGGCCTGCCGTGCTCTTGTGTGGTCTGCCGTGCTCCTGTTGGTCTGCCGTGCTCTTCTATGGTCTGCCGTGCTCCTATGGGGTCTGCCGTGCTCCTGTGGGGTCTGCCGTGCTCATGTGTGGTCTGCCGTGCTCCTGCGCGGTCTGCCGTGCTCCTGTGGCGTCTGCCGTGCTCCTGTGTGGTCTGCCGTGCTCCTGTGGTCTGCCGTGCTCATTTGGGGTTTCCCGCCAGCTTGTGTGGTCTGCCGTGCTCCTGTGGGGGAAACGCCAGCGGCGTTCGGGGTACAACAAAAGGCGCGTTTATGTTGTACCTGCGCGCGGTCTGCCGTGCTCCTGTGGGGATTGCCGTGCTCCTGTGTGGTCTGCCGTGCTCCTGTGTGGTTTGCCGTGCTTCTGTGGTCTGCCGTGCTCCTTTGTGGTTTGGCGTACTCCTGTGGGGTCTGCCGTGCTCCTGTGGGGTCTTCCGTGCTCCTGTGAGGTCTGCGGTGCTCTTGTGTGGTCTGCAGTGCTTCTGTGTCTGCCGTGCTCATTTGGGATCTGCCGTGCTCGTGTGGTGTCTGCCCTGCTCCTGCGGGATCTGCTGTGCTCCTTGTGTCGTCTCTTTGGTCTGCCGTGCTCGTGTGGGGTCTGCCGTGCTCCTGTGTGGTCTGCCGTGCTCCTGTGGTCTGCCGTGCTCCTTACTGCCGTGCTCCTGTGGGGTTTGCCGTGATCCTGTGTGGTCTGCCGTGCTCCTGTGCGGTCTGCCGTGCTCTTGCGGGGTTTGCCGTGCTCCTGTCGGCTCTGCCGTGCTCGTTTTGGGTCTGCCGTGTTCCTGTTGGGTCTGCCGTGCTCTTGTGTGGTCTTCCGTGCTCCTGTGTGGTCTGCCGTGCTCCTTTGGGGTCTGCCGTATTCGTGTGGGGTCTGCCGGGCTCCTGTGTGGTCTGCCGTGTTCCCTTTGTGGTCTGCCGTGTTCCTGTGGAGTCTGCCGTGCTCCTGTGTGGTCTGCCGTGCTCTTTTTTTCCGCTTGCCGTGCTCCTGCTCATTTTCTGAGGACGTCCCGAGCGAAAACGTCATTTTTAACATAAGAGGTTGTAAAACACCTCTGTCGGCATCTCATTTGTTCGAGGATGTCTCGAGCGAAACGCTCATTTTTCATGCACAACAAAAATCCTTGACATTTTTCAACACCCCGACTTTCTGAGGATGTCTCAGGCGAAACCGTCATTTTTCCCCACATCCAAAGTGGGGTTCTTGTTTTCTCTGCACACCCCGCGCAGGAACACTCACCCCACCCCCTCTCCTCTTCTGCCTTCGCACACTCACTCACTCACTCATCATCATCACCACTCACTCACACTCACACTCACTCACACTCTCTCATCATCAACATCAGCATCATCACTCGCGCTCTCTCACACGCTCAGCACTCTCTCACACGCTCACGAACATCATCGTCATCATCGGTATCGGCATCATCCTCATTCAAACATCATCATCGCCACCACCACCCACAATCAATCATCATCCTCTTCACCACTCATCTTCACCACCACTCATCATCCTCATCCTCATCATCGTTGAGTAAAGTGTGAGGAAGTCTCAGGCGGGAGCCCCCTCCCTATGGGGCCCGCAGATCATGTTGGTAATCCGAGCGGGTCATCGGAACCCTGTAACTGTCGTCACTTTTGGGCTCCCCAGGCCTGAAAATGGAGGAAGTCTCAGGCGGGAGCCTCGTCTGTGAGTGAATTGGGAGGAAGTCTCAGGCGGGAGCTCCCTCCCTATGGGGCCCGCAGATTATGTTGGTAATCCGAGCGGGTCATCGGAACCCTGTAACTGTCGTCACTTTTGGGCTCCTCAAGCCTGAATATGGAGGAAGTCTCAGGCGGGAGCCTCGTCTGTGAGTGAATTCTGAGGAAGGCTCAAGCGGGAGCCCCCTCCCTATGGGGCCCGCAGATCATGTTGGTAATCCGAGCGGGTCATCGGAACCCTGTAACTGTCGTCACTTTTGGGCTCGTCAAGCCTGAATTTGGAGGAAGTCTCTGGCGGGAGCCTCGTCTTTGAGTGAATTGTGAAGAAGTCTCAGGCGGGAGCCCCCTCCCTATGGGGCCCGCAGATCATGTTGGTAATCCGAGCGGGTCATCGGAACCCTGTAACTGTCGTCACTTTTGGGCTCCTCAAGCCTGAATATGGAGGAAGTCTCAGGCGGGAGCCTCGTCTGTGAGTGAACTGCGAGTAAGTCTCAGGCGGGAGCCCCCTCCCTATGGGGCCCGCAGATCATGTTGGTAATCCGAGCGGGTCATCGGAACCCTGTAACTGTCGTCACTTTTGGGCTCCTCAAGCCTGAATATGGAGGAAGTCTCAGGCGGGAGCCTCGTCTGTGAGTGAACTGCGAGGAAGTCTCAGGCGGGAGCCCCCTCCCTATGGGGCCCGCAGATCATGTTGGTAATCCGAGCGGGTCATCGGAACCCTGTAACTGTCGTCACTTTTGGGCTCCTCAAGCCTGAATATGGAGGAAGTCTCAGGCGGGAGCCTCGTCTGTGAGTGAACTGCGAGGAAGTCTCAGGCGGGAGCCCCCCCCCTATGGGGCCCGCAGATCATGTTGGTAATCCGAGCAGGTCATCCAAAACCTGTAACTGTCGTCAATGTTGGGTTCTCGCGCTGCCAGAACGCAGTTCCCAGGCCACACTTTGGATGCAACAAGGAAGTTTTTGGGCTCCTCAGGTCGCCGAGGTGCTGCGACAGGGCGCCGAAGGCGCCGACGACGACGGCCAGGCCGAGGCGCGGGCGCGGAGCTTGCTGATGTTCAGGCCCAGCGAAAGGGAGTTCACATGGCAGAGCTCGGGGGCGCACAGCGTGCGCCGCTCGGGGTTCACCCTGACGCACGCGTCCTACCTGACCTCCACGCTGTCGCAGGGCCAGACGCTGCGCAAGGGCGTCACCATCGACTGCGCGAGAGACGAGGACGCTGGCCGCACGGGCATGTCGGACGAGCAGTGGTGGCTGCACCTCTACGTCATGTTCTCCCGCGCCACGTGCATGCGGAACATGCTGATCCTGCGGCCGCCGCCGCGAGAGTTCCTGGAGTGCGGGCCGCCGGCGTCCCTGCGGAAGGCGCTCCTGGAGTTCGACAAGAGAACGGTTTTGTCCAGGGCGGAGGCGAAGCAGCTCGCGGCAGAGCTGGGCTTCGTGCTGCCTTCCGCCTGAGCGCGGCTGCGCCTCGCTCGAAGCCCGCGGGGTTGTCCCAACGGCTTGGTCTTGCGCGCCAACGGCTCGCGGGGTTGTCCCGACAGCCTGGCCCGCGGGGTTGTCCCAACGGCTGCGCGACGTGACCTGTAGAGAACGCGCCTGTGCTGGCCGTGGCGGCGACGGCGCCGAGGAACATCGACATGCGCGCTCATGCAACAGGAAGGGGAGGAGGTGGCGGGGCGCGGAACAAACAGGGGGGCGAGGATGGGGACAACGTAAGGAGTGGAAGGGGGGCCCGCGCCAAGGCGAGAGGAAATATACGCAGAAGAGACAGCCAGGACGCCTCACCAACCACGAGGACGACGGTGATGGCTTTTTCCAGACTCGCCCAGAGGATTCTTATGTGGGGTTCTTCCGTCGGAGTAATTAACATAAGACGTCTTAAACGATAGCCTCCAACACCTCGATTTTAGGAGGATGTCTCGGGCGAAATGGCCATTTTTGGGAATCCGCCAACGACGTCTTGAGGGCGCTCTTGGTGCCTGGTCTGCCGTGCTCCTCGTCTTGGTCTGCCGTGCTCCTCTCGGTTCCTAAGACGTCTTAAACGATAGCCTCCAACACCTCGATTTTAAGAGGATGTCTCGAGCGAAATGCTCGTGGTCTGCCGTGCTCCACACAGGAGCACGGCAGACCACCTGCTCATTTTCTGAGGACGTCCCTAGCGAAAACGTCATTTTTAACATAAGAGGTTGTAAAACACCTCTGTCGGCATCTCATTTTTTCGAGGATGTCTCGAGCGAAACGCTCATTTTTCATGCATAACAAAATTTTTGATATTTTTCAACATCCCGATTTTTTGAGGATGTCTCGAGCGAAACCGTCATTTTTAACATAAGACGTCTTAAACGATAGCCTCCAACACCTCGATTTTTCGAGGATGTCTCGAGCGAAATGGCCATTTTGGGGAACCTGACCGGACAAGAACGGGAAGCGCCGTTTTTTATCCACCACGTGCGTCAGAGACCGTATTGGCGAGAACGTCAGAGAAACCCATAAACGCAACAGAACAGACTAAATGATGGCCTGCCGCGTTCCGACGGCCCAAGACGGCCCAAGAGGCCCCCAAGATCGCTTTAAGATC